ACAGTCTATTATAGTCTCTATACATCAGGTGACCCATAGCTTGGCTTGCAACCAACTGGTCGGTACACGCGTACTGAAGACAAAATCCCCATATGCTTGACATCACGAATATTCACATGCGTCTCATATAATTAGGTGCGAATGATGTGGTCTAATAAAAGGCATTGATTTGGCTGAAAATGAAACGTTTTGATCGAAATTATGGTAAATTGATGCCTGCTTCTCTGACAAAGGCAATATGTTAGTCCTCCCCGATGTTCTACCTTTTTTTTTTTTTTTTTTTTTTTTTTGTAATTTCTAGTGCAATCCTCCCCTCTCTAAGCGGGTTTAACTATAGGCCCTTTCCAAATTTATGTTTTATGACACGCTATGGGTGTCAGACCTTAATATAGCATTTTTTTTCATTTCTCCCTGCAAATGTAAGTCAATCAATAAGTTTGTAGTTTCTAGGTTACTCTCGTAATAAGGATAAAGACAGGCAATTGTTAAAAGTGAAATAGTTTAATAAACGTTACAATTCGAAAGCTGGTTTATAATAATAATTTATTTAGCTTTTGAATGTTACAAATTTTTCCATAGACAACAATTTGCACATTTAGTGAATAGTCAGAGAAATATCTGTGAATAATAACATGGAGTGAAAAATGTCCTGTGGTCCTGGTAATGATAAAAAAACGCTTTTGTTTTGGAGGCAAATAAGGTAAACCTAAGCGCCGAGATCTGTATTCGAAGTCTAAGAACAGTACCTGATCAAAATGCGTCACACGTACTGTATTATTGGGAATCATAACAAGGTGAAACAGTTTTCAAATGATGTTAGAAAAGCACAATAACAGTTCTCCTTGTCGTGTTTTAACCACAAAATTGCACAATGCCAGTGTCCTTTTTACCCACTAGTGCTTCAAAATGAAAAATATTTTCGACGCTCAACCTTAACGATAGATTCACTGAATATACATGTATGTCGGTGACAGTTTCAGTGCAAGCGGCTTCAAAAATTGGAAGAGGTCTAGATGGAGAGTCATCTCCTGGTCTGTACAGAATCCTGTATGCTTTCAAATACTTATAAAAATGAAAATAGATAAATAAAAATGGGCCTTTTGCACCGCATCAGCGTGTTAAATTGTCTCTACAGTGGTGATGTGATAGAGCCATTTTGATAAATAGTACGATTAGCGATGGGCGTTTTTGGTTTCTTCCAGACGACTCTCAGAAGGAAGCACATTTCACTTGGCAGGGTGCAATAAATCGCGCAGGCATTGAAAGAGAATGACTGTTGGAGCGATGCGCGAAATTATGTTTCCTATATTATTTTTATTGAACGTGGCCTCCTCTGCTGCAGTACACGCGGTATTGGTCAGTGAAGAAAATCTCGACAGTTTCTACGGAAGTCAAAGTCAGGTGAATTTCTTAATTTTTCTGATTTCTTTCTAAGTAAATGAAAGGTTTTTTAGTTATTCTTTTAGGTCGGTTTGAATATTGTTTATTAGATTAGAACGTTTCAATACATGTAATCTTTCTAGTAAATATAAAAATATGTTATCAGAAAAAGGCGATAATACACCAGCCTTCGATCTCGAACTCCTATGATCTTAGTATTTTGTTTCGCACGACACCTGGTATCATGTGACATAGAGCGGGATTTTGAATGTAATAAATAAGAACTCGTAACAATATATTTATTCCCCAATAAAAAATTACGCATCAATTAAAGCACAATTCAACATTTTCTGAATTATCCAAAGGTTGGGAAACTAGTGCAGTTATTCTCATAATTTTATGAACCCAGCGTTATCTCATTGCCCTTGACCTGTCCCGTGACTAACCAAAAATATTCTGAGCTGATTATTTCAAGACAAAAGAGAAAGAGGACGCCATTGACACCTCGGGTAGGTTGGAGTGATAAAAATCAGATTTTGCATTATTTGTTGTAAAGTGTATCTTCGTAATTAATATCTACTGCCATTCCTATAAATATTCGTCTTTCTAAAAGAAGAAGAGTGACTTATTAGAAGTCATCTCGCTTTTGCTCATACGTTGAAAATCGGGGCGCATTGCCGTAGTATGTTTTCGTATAACTTCAGATCACCTGTGTGAAACGATTCTTTGATGTGAAACGTCGCTTGTTTCTACCAATATTGAGATATATGAGGAATTTAAAATATTGAGTGGAGATAAATGTTTCGGTGGCTTGGAAGATCATGGACAATCCCCTGTAACAATATTTATATTTCCAGAGGTCGTCGGCAAACTTTAGAAATTCACCCATAGATTTTAACTCTTAACTCATTTGAGAAGAGGTTGTTAGATTAAATACGTTTATTCGGACAATTGATTCTTTTCTCTTTGGACTGTCCATAGACTGTGCGGAAAGGGGATTCCCCTAGAAATTTCCCCATGTATTGCAAAATACCCTTGCATCCCGGACGATGCAAAAAGTTGTCAGATAACATGAGGCTAACGTGAGCTACAGCACTCCTCACTCAAAAATGCCATAAAAGGTTGGCTATTCGATACTGATCGAAATCGCTAGTTAAATCATATTACGAAGAAAAAAACCTTTTACACACGCGACTAATTTAAAAACACTGACAGAAGATATCTAAAACCATGACATTGTGATAGCCAATTGCAACATACAGGCCACTTTCATTTCTCATTTAGCCTTAATTAAATGCACATAAATCGCCATATAATGGACTCCGCTTATTATATATTTATTTTTTCAATAAGCAGTTGTGCGTCTATTCAATCGCAATTTTACGTCTTTATGACCCCCGCGTTATCAGATCGCCCTCGACTTGCCTCGTGACTGATAAGAATATCCTACACTTTTAATCTAAAAGCAAAAGAGGGAAGACGCTTTTTGCATCTCCGGTAAGTAAATGTGACGAAATTAAATTTTGCATGATTTGTTGTAAAGAATAGCTTTATTAGTAATATTTATGTCTATAGTGATACAATAAGGCCTTCGTTATAAAAGAATACGACCACCCAATACAAGAGATTACCAATGACGCTCTCGCCCAGTTGTTTACGTAGAGGATAATGTGAGGTGGGCTTGCGCCGACACACTTTGTATATAACTTCTCCGGTTCAGATGAGTAAAACGTCTCCTCTATTTCTACTAATAATGTAATTAAAAGTTGTTCGTTTTAGTTGAATGTTTAGCTAAGTATTGGGAAATATGTTACAGTAAGTGCGGTGTATGGGAATATTTAGATATGAGACAATTCCCAAAGGTAGTCGGCACGTTTTGGAAATTCACTCTATAGATTTCATTTCTAAACCCATTAGAGAAGAGGCCGTTATATTGAAGAAGCACGTGTATGCGGATAATTGTCTGCTCTTTCTTTGGACTGCCCATAGGCTCTGGGATTTTCCTAAAAATTCCGCCAGATCTTGCAAAATACTCTTACATCCGGCCGAGGCACTTATAATATTGTTGAGATAAAATAATGAAAACGTGTCTACTGCACTCCTCACTCAAGAATGTTAAGATAATATTGATCCAGTTCATCTCAATCCATTATCAACAACATGTTGATAAATCTACTATTAACAATGCACTGAATAACAATACTGAGTTGTTGAACAACCGAGCATAATTTAAAGATAAAAAAATAAAGTAACATAATGATTGTAATAATAAAGATAGGGGGTGAAACATATTGCCAGAAGATGTAGAGGTAGCCAATCACACTGTGCTTGTTCAAGAATTCAATACACTTTATGAGGGGTGTACAGAATTATTACTTCAAAACCATAGTTATTGTAGGGACAGTGGTTTCCATAACTATCTAATTAACTAGCTAACAAAAAAAAAAAATCGCCAAAAAAATGGCAGGCAGCAGTACGTAACTTATCAATAAGACTATAAATTCTAACAGGTATATCTAAATCAATTTAGGATAAAATAGTTCTTATGTACTATAAATACTTTTCATGTGTTCCTCAGAGAATTAAGTCAACTGCCAGGATGTCTGTAATGGATCTCTGCCAAGCTGCTGCGGACGGAGACTTGCAGAGGTTAACGAACCTACTGAGAGCCGGGACCTTGGATGTCAACACAACTGACGAGGTAATGAATTCATCTTTCAGTGTCTAATCAAAATGTGAAATGCTTTGACGTCCACTAGCTAAAACTTGATTGAACCTAAAGTAACTATTTTTAAGACAAGAATCATCGAAACGTAGGGCTTAATATCATGACTTAACTTAATTTACGAATTAAATTAATTTAATTCTCTATTAATAAATATGGTGTACTTATTTATTAAGGATAATTTTGCTAAGAAAAAGCTGCATATTTTCAAACCCACAGTCAGGAAGTTCACTACTACACTTGGCTGTAGAGCAAGGTGCCACACAGTGTGTCCAGCTTCTCCTCAAGCACGGGGCGAATCCTAATATACAGGGCAAAAGGGCAGGATTGTTTACATGGCCATGGGTGTGTACGCTGTTTAATATTACTATGAATACATTGTATGTTACTTTAAATTACATTCATTGACATACTATTTATTGCCAAATCTTACAATTTTATATCACAAAATATTTGGGACTAAAATCAATAAGTAAGGTCTAATAATCATACATAAACCCAGTTTACATACAGTAAATTGTTTAATTATATAAGAATATAGACTAATTATCATAAATTAAAGACAGATGTTGCATCAAAATTATCATAATTTTCGAATTCACAGGGTGCATATAGACATACACCACTACATAAGGCTGCAGAGCAAGGTGCCACAGAGTTTGTCCAGCTTCTCCTTCAGCACAGAGCGGATCCCAATATACAGGATGGGGTAAGTATGCGAGTGGACATTTACATGGGGTGTGTGCCCTGTTTTAACTTTAGTATTTAAACATTATATCAAACTTAAGAAAATATTCACTGTTACACTTTTTTTGCTGCCAAATCTTACAATTTCCCATGACAAAAGCAAAATACATTTGACGTCCTTTCTACAATTGATAATTACGGACTTGGAATATCTATTATTATAAGGCTTTATGACCAGCCATAAACATTATTTACAAACAGTGGACTGTGTGAAAATGAACACGGACTAATTATAAAATAATAATTATAAATTATAAAATAACTTATAATGCACCCAAATAATCACGTTTTTAAAACCCACAGTGGGGACGTTCACCACTACACTTGGCTTCAGAGCGAGGTGCCACACAGTGTGTCCAGCTTCTCCTTCAGCACGGGGCAAATCCCAATGTACAGTGCGAAGGGATGTCATGGCGTGTACGTTGTTATAACATTACTATCAATACATTGTATTTTACTTTAAATCACATTCATTGACACATCGCAAAATATTCCGCATTTAAATCAATTTGTAAGGTGTAATGATCATAAATAAACCTGTTTACATACAGTAGATTGTTTAACTATATAAGAATATAGACTAATTATTATAAAATAAAGACAGATGTTGCATCAAAATTATCATTATATTTGAATCCACAGAGTGCACGTGGACATACACCACTTCTCTTGGCTGCAGAGCAAGGTGCCACACAGTGTGTCCAGCTTCTCCTCCAGCACGGGGCAGATCCCAACATACAGGATGAGGTAAGTATGCGAGTGAAAATGTGCTTGGGGTGTGTGGTCTGTTTAAACTTTATTATTAAATCATTATATCAAACTTAAAAAAATCACATTCACTAAGACACATAGTTTGCTTCCGTATCCTATAATATCCCATGACAAAAGCAAATTTAAAGTCGTTCCTACAATTGATAATAAAGGACTTAGAATAGCTACTATTATAAGGCCTGATGACCACCCATAAATACTACTTACAAAAAGTGGACTGTGTTAAAATAAAATATGACTAATAAAAAAAGCTAATTATGCATCAAAGTAATCACGTTTTTAAAATCCACAGTTAGGATGTACACCACTTCTCTTGGCTGCAGAGCAAGGTAACACACAGTGTGTCCAGCTTCTCCTACAGCACGGGGCTGATCCCAATATACAGTGCGAAGGGAAGAGTATTTTCCTACTGGTATGTACGCTGTTTTAACATTACTGTGAATACATTGTATGTAACTTTAAATCACATTTATTTACACAATTTTGTTGCCAAATCTTTAAATTTCATATCGCAAAATGATCCGGACTAAAATCAATAAGTAAGGTCTAAATGTCATACATTAACCCTATTGATATACAGTAAATTGTTAAATTATATGAGAATATAGACGAATGATCATAAAATAAAGACATATTTTGCATTAAAATTATCATAATTTTTGAATCCACAGAGTGCACGTGGACGTACACCACTACACTTGGCTGCACAGCGAGGTGCCACACAATGTGTCCAGCTTCTCCTCCAACATAAGGCTAATCCCAATAAACAGGATGCGGTAAGTGAGTCCACGTATGCTTGGGTGTGTGCCTTTTTTGAACCTAAGTATTAAAACATTATATCAATTCACTGTGACATTTATTTTGCAGCCAAATCTTACAGTTTCTCATCACAACAGCAACATATACATATACATTCAACGTCCTTTATACAATTGATAATTAGGCCTACTGACTTAATAGAATAGATATTATTATAAGGCCTAATGACCAATCATAATGACCAAACACTATTTACAAACAGTGAACTATGTGAAAATAAAATAATGAAATATGACTAATTAAAATCAACTAATTATACATCAAAATTGTCACGTTTTTAAAACCCACAGATAGGACGTACACCACTACACTTGGCTGCAGAACATGGTGCTACACAGTGTACCCAGCTTCTCCTCCAGCACGGGGCGGATCCCAACGTATCAGATAGGGTTAGTGTGTTAAAAGACATATGCTTAGGTGTGTGTCGACTGTCATTTATCACACAACTTGGCAATAGATCATTTCTCCATTCTTTAATACTCTTTGTTTGATATCTTTTGCCGTAAGTAAACAAATGTAAAGCGATATAAATGATACTAGCTAAAATACATGTACTAATGGAAATGCACTGCAGTCCAGACTCATTGTCAGGAAAAGACAAAAGTTGTTTTGTAAACATCACGGAATCAGTTATAGGCCTACCCTTTTCATAATGTTTAAAAGATTGCTCTGTTTAGTTTTTTATCTTGACCTTTACTTAGTTATTTTGATAATAACTTTAAAGTGATAAACAGTATCTGGGATAGATAGATAGATAGATAGATAGATGAGGGATGGATGAATAGACACTCTAGGGTGAGATCAACTGTTGTATTCTAATTTATAGAAGAAAGCAACCCCGTTCACCCTTGCAAAAGAGAAGGGCCTAACAGCGATTGCAGAATACCTGTGTCGATTTAACAACCCAGGTGTTCAGGTATATCAGAGTTTTCAGCAAACATTTCTACAGCAACCTTAAGTACCCAAGATATTAATTCTTCTGTGACTGTATTCATTCTTTTCTGTTATTATTGTTTTTTTTTTTTTTCGTTTTACAAGGTCTCGGTATGTCCTTTATACAGTATTTACACAGTAACATGAAGTATCAGTGAAGAATAACACAGTATATCTCTCAAATCCAGATTTTCTGTTTTATAAAAAAAATCTAAAAACTATTCACGCTTTCCCATTAAAGATGCGGCGACTAAAGTGTAATTTAAATGATCGCATAATGTATTTATTATCCAGTTTATTGTGTAGGTTTGTAATAATATCTTTCCTTCTCTTCCTTTTTACGTTCTCTTCATCAGGACCACCTCCTTAAGAGAGCCTCCCTCAAGCTGTGTGATCACATCAAACTGGAAGATTGTCGCATGTTGGCTAGATATCACCTTGGCATAGGAGATGTAGAAATAGACGACATTGATATGACACACCAATTTAACCCTTTGGAGCAACGCTTCCAGATCCTTTCTTTGTGGAGAAATAAGAAATCAGAAGCGTCAGTGAAAATGTTGATCGACGCCTTAAAAGCTGCAGAATTAGTTAAGACGGCAGGTAAGTCAAAAATCAACAAAACACACATGATTCTTAAAATATTCATGACAAAAACTCAAAACTGTTTCGATTTACTGGGGGTAAAAATAATGCTTCTGTTTGCTATTCAGGTTGTTTCTCTCCCCACTCTGAAAGGAATCAGATTGGACTTACCTTTGTGTGTGTGTGCGTGTGTGTGTGTGTGTGTGTGTCCACAGGGATCCAACCATACATGGCTTCTTATAATAATGACCTGAGTTTCCCGCGATTAAAAAATATCACTGAAAAAGTTCCAGCATTTCTATATTGTCTGAATTTAGTTTTTTTCTCCTTGTAGAAGTCATTGAGCAATACTACGTAGAGGAGCTGCGCAAAGTGTATGGAATGTCTGCGGAAGAATACCAGCGTCTTACTGCCGTAGATTTGCCAGACATCTGCCCATCTGCCCTGGGTGATATGCGGCCGGTGAAGTTGGAAGGTTACGTCTCTGACAACCTGAAGATCCTGTACGTGAAAGCCAGTGGATTTGGGATCCAAAATGGAAAAGAAGACGGAAACAGCAGCAAGCTTGAGGCGGTGATGAAATATCGTCACTTCGGAAACGGCACTTACGAACTCGTTTAGTGCATGTATTAGAAAATGTAACTGTACGAACTAAGTTGTGCTTAATGGCACTGTAAGAACCAAATTGCACTATAAGCACAAAGTATAAGAACTGTGTTTTAGGGGAAATTATATTTGGTTAAAGAATTCCAATGATAATAAGTTAATAGTTAAAAGAAATACTTTGTCAGAGATATTATCATAGCCCCTACTTCTTGTTTCATATACATTGTACTAAAATAATTTGTAACGCTGATCTTAGTATACATATGCAACATTTGTTAAAACGGTTTCATGACATTAAAATGGATGTTACACCTTTTAATAAATCACCATCTTGACTTCATTGATTGACCTTCAGGAGCATCTGTAAAATTCTATTAATTTTTTTGCATATCTCTCTTTTTTCCGACACGCGGCAACAGTTGCAATGTTATTGTGTGGACCTACACTTCAACGGCTATGTAAGTCATATGTGTGATTTATCTATTATTATTATTATTATTATCATTATTATGCATTCCTGCTTTTATGTGTGTGTATGTGTTCAAGTATATTTAACAATGACTCTGAGCTTAAGATACGTATTCTTTAACTAGGGTACTAGTACTAGCTAGCTCATTTTCACATATGTCGCTTTTATCATACTGAGGATATATAATCATTTGATTTACTTCACTAGGTGGTGGTTGGTTTAGAATACATTTATTTATATTTGCATATTGTATAGTGATTCATATTATGTATCACTTTAAAGTCACATTGTTGAAGGTATTTAAATTGTTTACTTCTAATTTATGTAGCGTCTAGTCTCAAAAGTATGTTTTTTCTGTGTGTATGGCGCTTTTCAGTATAAAAGGTATTTAATTTTCAAATTCTTTGGAGCATAATCCACTAAGCTTCTTATTCAATATAGGGTGGAATATAGCCCGTTTATCTATGGTAAAATATATATCAGTTCGAACCACTTGAACAGTATAATTTTTGCAAATTGAGCAGATTGGTTTTTTATCCTACGTGAATTATTTGACTACCTACATGTGTAAAAAATAATTTAGTGCATTGATCTTTGTGAGCGGACTTTTGGTTTACAAGGGTGTGTGTACTTTCACAGCATTTTAATGTCTTTATGCACGAGTTTTTCTTATTGTTACTTCAAAATATACGTAAACATTTTGTATATATATAAATGAATTATACCACAAACAACAAGGAGAGCCGAATTTTCAGACAAAGTTTTCATCTGATTTCATAAGTGTACCAACTTGGTAATATTTTGTGGAAGGTTTGATCACCTAGACAAGAAGGTGGACTTTATGAAGTTAAATGGTTGTGCTTATTATTTTATCATATCTGAAGAGTATAAAGCCTCGGTCACAACCGGCCGCACGGGCTCTTACGGGCTGTTTGCGTCCAAATTTTGAGCAGAATCTCACGTCCCAAGCGAGTCTTTTTTTAGAAATTTCGAGTTCGCAGACAGCCCGTAAGCACGTGCGGAGGATTTTAGACATGTGCAAAAGATTCTACGAATAGCCTGCGAACAGCGAGGCCTCAAGAGTTAGCAAGAGGGACGCGCGTTGTGCAAGACGCACGTCGCAAGCAACGAAGGAGCAAGTGCCCTTTGCGTGTTGAGTAATGCGCACGCCCTCACAACTAACGAACAAAGTCGAGAGCACACCGGGAATGCGTCGCACGTGCGTCACCTCCGCGCCTTGTGAATAAAAGGCGTGCTCACGACGCACGCTCGTGTCTTTACAATGAACATCGACTGTGTAACGTGTACAACAGTTTGCTCAATTTAGTTTCTAATATACCTCCAAAAGGCAAGAGAAAGAAGCTTACATATTAGGAAAAGGGGAGGAGGAAAAAGAAAGAAGAAGAGAACAGGAAGCAAAACTGATGTACGCCGTCGGTTCGTCAACACAAACTTGTGAAGCAAGTGTGAAGCAAAACTGACGCAAAAGGGCACTACTTTCGCCGTGCGTTGCATTCCCTTCGTAAGTGGCGAGTGTGTGCCACGTACACAGGAAGCAAGACAAACTCAAGAAATGAGTACAATTTCCACGGCCATCGCTCCTTGCAATTGGCGTCCCTGCTTGAAAGGACATCTCATGTGGCCCTTGCGACTCGCAAGGCAGACTTTCCTGTGCCTCTACGACCTCCACGGCCTCCGCAACACCCAAAAATTGCAGAAGACAATTCTGAAATTCGTGCGTCCGGTTGTGACCGAGGCTTAAGCGTTATATGTCCATAAGATTTTGGTAAATGTATTATTCAAGCCTTATATTATGCATGGAGTGTTACTAAGTTAGTTATAGTTACTGTATTATTTCTGCGACGTTAAAATATTCCTGTTAAGCATTTTCATTAATTATTAATGAATGATGATCGAGAAATGACGTATACTCGATTTTGACGATTCATTCTTAAAATAACGGGGAATGGCATTTGTTCTGATCTTACTATAAGTGCAGTGGTACATTGTCCTATTTGTAAATACACTGAGCATTAATGCATGAGATAAATATTTATGTAAGGTACCTCTTACTTTATCGAGATAACATGATTTGTTTTGGTAATTTACGAATTTTATATTATTTATTATTTGCATCGCTTTTAAAAAATGAAAAAGGAGCGTATGTTGTAAAGTTTTAGAGTACGAGGACGAATAAAACGAGTAAAAGGATAGGGAGTTATTGAGTGTAAGTTAAATTTCTTAAAGAGTCAACAAGTGTAGAAATTGTTCTCATAGTGGAAAAAGATGAAACATGTCAAAGTCACAAATAGCTAGATTTGATTGGTTAATTTCTCAATAGATTTGTAAGTTTCGGACACGTGTAAAATGCATACAGACCTAGCATGGATAAGGTCCAAGAATGAGTAATTCAAATGATATTTTATATTGAAAACAAGTCTCTTAGAGATTACCTAATAAGGAAATGTTGTATGGTGGCTGAGAATGGAAAATTCCTTGTAACTACGCAAAGACAATGGAGATAAACAAGTAAATGCATGATAAGTACGGAGAAATAGATAAATACTTGTGAAATTGTATGAAAAAAGGCAGTCGGTGAATAAAAGTCCGAAAGCTCCAGACCGTCGTTTTTCTTCACTAAAACAGTACTGTATACTTAATATTTGTTTCTAGCTTCTACATAGAGTAGCTTTGTTTGTTTTTTTTTTTTTTTTTTTTTTTTTTTTTTTTTTTTTTTTTTTTTTTTGAGAGAGAGAGAGAGAGAGAGGTTAAAAGTTACTGATTACTCACAAATAAGCTGCGTGCCACTTTCATTAATACTTAACTTCTACCGAAGAAATTATGCTGGGGAATGGCATCCGGTATACGTTTTCGACATTATTTTTTTGTAAAGACAATGCTCAACATTAACACGACCAAACCTGAAACCTGAAAACACGCAAGTGTCTTTTGACTGTCCATCGCCAGACAGTCGACCGTCTTTCCAGGTTGTAGTTCACTGTTGTGTTTCTATAAGCTGATGGTTGATGAGACTGATCCACACTGTTCCCCGCTGTGTCTCGGCAATTTAAAGTCTCTTCCGATACAATATATATATAATACTTTATTTTAAATGAGCTTAATGAAATTAATTAGGGGTTTTAAATTTTATTCTTTCAGAAAGTAACGTTACGTGGTTTATCCTCAAGTGGTGCGGTGGTGTTGAGGCTATTTACAGTGGCGGGTGCGGGGGTGTGTCAGGGCCACTAACAACAATGGGCCACCATCTTTGATAGTCTTTTAAAATATTCCTATGTGCTGGATTACAGTAGGGGTGCTTTCATGTGAAAGTGGGTGGGTTTTGTCTTATTATTAAAAAAAAAAACATTTGTGTGTTTCAAAACATTTCTGTGTATTTTAAACTTTTTAATTCTTAGTCGAAACGACATGAAAACAATGCTAAAATGTGGGACACACACATACCAGTCAGAAAAGTATTGTCATGTTTTTTGTAATCCACGAGTTCATTTACGGCACGCACCTAGAGAAAAACAAAAATTCCTCATCGTCGCAATTTTTGTTGGGTGAAGAAAAGGGGTTGTTGTCCGTTTCTATCGTTTCCGTTTTCAACTTTAGTACAGGTGTACAAAGTATCTCCCATATACGTAAACTATACAAATCGTTCAATTCCGGGATTTAAATATCGGAAATACACTCTGCTTTTCATAAAACAACAGTATTTAAGGCAATCCTGTCTTCTGAGGGTGTAATCACAGATATTATGACCCAATCCTGTTTTATTTCCTTCAGACTCGCACTAGTGTGTAGTTTCTTTTCTCAATAGTGTTTCTAAATAATGGAAATTTCCACTGATGACGTAATGACCCGGTCACATAAATATTAAATAAGACTTATTAAATAAGCTATATCCGGTCCCCACTTTTTGGCGTGTAACTTACGAAAAACGCTTTCATGTCGCTGTTTAACAGGTGATTTAGGATCGCAGCGTGCTTTCCCAGCACTGTGGAGTTACAGTTGTAAGTCTACTCTTTCCTAATGATTTTTCTGTAAGTTTTAAGGTAACATTTTCCGAACTTAGTGAATATGAAGTAAAACGCTATGTATTTTCTAAGCGAAAAGCGTGCACACAAGATCGGCGCAGTGTTGTTACCCAGTACTGTGGACATGCATATAAACATTTTACAAAGATAATGTGTGTGTATGTGTGTGTGTGTGTGTGTGTGTGTTTGTGTGTGTGTGTGTGTGTTTATTTCTGATTGTGTAACCATCATACTTTGGAAAACTGACTGACCATCTTGGTTGCCCATTTTCTGTTACTGCCTTCTTTTATTATTTTCATCGTAGTGAAGAGCAGCCAAGTAATAATTGGAAAAAGGAAAAATATTTTCTATTGCATTTTAACAATACTCAACAAGGGTATAAGTAGAAATGTAAAAACCACAATGAAAGAGTTCATAATTAAAAAATATCTCCTTACCGCGTAAGTTTTCCGAGCCAACTTAAGTGGTTTATGTTTTAAGGCAAAGTGAAAAGAAGATCGTCGTGT